GAAACTACTAATTTAGTTGTCTAAAAAACCCAGATGACACTGAAATATAACATCATGTTTCTAGAAGATTGCTGTGGGTGGAAATAAAAATACAGCAGATTATAGAAAGTGAAATACTTAGGAACAGCAGAAAGTCATTATTATTCAGGAGTTTGCTCTTGCTTTGTTTTTAAGACAGAAGCATATATTAGTCACTGAAACACACATTAACATCCTAGTGTCGCCTAGTATTGTACTGCTTATTAGAATACATTGATATTGATTCCATAATGTCTTTAAATGTCTCACCTAGTATTCCAGTTAGCATATGGGTTCCAGATACACTACTTCTAACACTATGTTCTTTGTATCTGCAAACAGATAATCCTTTCCATGCAGGCTCTCTATTTCTTTTGCCAGTCTGAAATTTTGCAAGAGAAGCAATTTTTCCAGACCTGGTTTGTGTTTGTTAAAGATATCATAAACATTCCCGTTAATGTCCTTCTCCATAGTAGATGTCTGCATTGAACAATAATGTAGTAAAAGTCAATTCTTTCTAACTAGTTTAAGCAGTCATGGACACTGGAATACAGTGGCTCTGTACGGTTAACTTCCTGTAACAAATGGTAAAACATTATTTGACAATGAGCCCCATGCAGCCGTCTTTATTTCTCTATTAGTAGAATCCACTGTTAACTGCCAAATTCGAGGACTTCTCCGAATGTTCTTGCTGTGGCACCACTTACCTTTAAGGGCCAGCACTTCTTGTGACAATATCCATATATCTTTTCAGTATATTGCTGTTGTTGTCACAGGAAGAGCTGGCACTTTAAGATGGTTGATACTCAGCCTCATCTCTGCCAGGTGTAGCCTACCTGGCCAGATGAATGGAATGAGTAGTACAGGTCTTGTGGTGGGGACCATGCAACTAAGAACCAGGCCTGCTAGGAGACAATTCAGCCAGGAGAGAGATTCCAGGGAGAGCAGACCTGGGAAATCTGTATAGCCTGATCTATAGATTAGGAATAAAAATTCCCAGTTATCACTTTCAGGGTAGACAGGTTCTTGTCCCAAGATTAGGCCCAGTATTAAAATTATTATATAGTTGGGAACCCCGATGTGCACAGCTGCAACACTCACACTACAGTAACTCTTCTGTATTTACAAATAATTTATGAATACATTTAGCAAAGTCACACACACACACTCTAACTCAGTAAAGTAGATAGAGATAATACAAAAGTACATACTTACACCATCCCTTGCAGAAGAAGCTGAAATGTTAGCTATTATCTTCCTCATCACCGTCACCTTCCTCATCTTCACCGGTGGCCATCATTCTGGCCCCTCCCAAGGGCTACATCTCTCTCCCTCCTACTGCCCTGGAATGCCACTTTTATAATATGTTCTGCTGATGTTACCATGTCTAATGCATATTCAGTAGGGGTTTCTTCCCTCTTCCTTATTTGTATTTCCTTCCCTTACCAATGTTAAGGTATCCTTTTTCTATAGCTTAATATATTTATGATTTCACCCCATTATAATATACGTCAGTTCGTTGCCATGGCAGTCTTGCGGTTGGATGTTCCGTCCAAAACATTCCAGAAGCTGGTGTTAGTTCATGTTGCTATGGTTGGCTGATGTCATTATGGACAAAATTCCCCCTTACATTCTACTTCCAGTTCCCCAAAATGTATGGGTTACATAAGTTTATTTGTGCTAAAGTGCATAGGCCTCAAGCCTCATGCTAACTCCTGAAGCCAGTGTCTTACAGGATACAAGCCTGTAGGTTCCTTGCATTACTGCTGAATATAATAAAGCAGAATATAATGCAAAGCAGAGAATATAATAGAGGTAAGCTAGCTCACTGGGCTACACCAGTGTTCCATTAAAGTGTGGAGGGTCAGTGAAAACTAGGCTGAGGAGAGAGACTTGCAGGGAGCAAAAGCCTGCTTGGCCTGGGCAGCAGGTATAATAGGCACTGCCATGGCCACCAGACCCCTGGTTGCGGGGTTTGGCGGGTGAAGGTTTTGCTTTATTATGCCCCCTGCAGGTTTCCGGGGTGGCTGAGGAGGTGGTGATTCACAGGTGCTATTCAGCTTCCTGGGTTTATCAGTAATCTCCCTGGACTCCAGAGAGATTACTGATGAACCCAGGAAGCTGAGTAGCAAATACCGCCTCCTCGGCCACCCTGGAACCTTCATGGGGCATATCAAAAGCATCTCCGGGAAGAGCTGCTTTTCCCCAGGGGGCTTAGGGTCTGGGGAGGGGAGGCCCAACTGTGGCTGGCCTGGGGCTCCTCTGGGCAGTTGTGGGGGAGCTCGGGTCACCTCCAGGCCGGCTTCAGGGCTACGGCCAGTTTGGGGCTGCTCTGGTGCGGGTGGAAGGGGCGGAGCTGGGGGCTAGCCTCCCTGACAGGGGGCTCCACTCACCACCCATGCTGATAGAAAGAAAGTCTCAGCAGGCATTGGACTAGGAACCCTGAACCAAGGGTGTGAGCCAGCTAGCAAGGCTAATTGGAAGATCTGTGTTATTGTAAACTGTTGTTTTTTTTTTAATAAACCAGACAGTCAAAAAAGGGAGGGCTAAAGCGAAAACACTCACTGCATGAAGTCTGATTAATAGGGGAAACTGAAACAGTGGCAGAGCCCAAGACTGGACTGAAGAAGGCTCTGCTACAGCCATGGAATTAGACTAACCTCTTCAGTAGCCTTAGATTCCAGTGGGGACTAAATGCTGACAGAAATGCAGCTCTGTATGTCTGAGGAGGTGGATGTGCTATTTGAGTTGTAACACAGATTTGAGGAAAAACAGTAATACAGTTTGGCCCCAATTTTTCTGCTTAAGTGGGTTAAAGGAAGAGCCATCTTCTCTCATCCACCTGCACACACAAGAATTAAGGCCAGATTTTTAAAGAGGCTTTAAAATGGCTTCTATTTTTCCACCTACAATTTTGTGTCCGCTGCTGACTACAGGCGCAAAAATAGAGGCCAGGTTTTAAAAGCAGCCATATTAACCATCTATCATGCACTTAGCCCTTTAAATTGGGAAATGCAGAATTCCTAGCTACAGGATAATACGAGTCTGAACTGCATTTTAGAACACTGAATGAACATTAATGGTATTAATATTCTTTTTTTTCCCCATATAAGTTTTGCAGAGACTCATTTGACTCTCCCAAATGTTGGCTGGGGAGATATCTATGCGGGGAAATGCTTTTTAAAAGGCTTTTAGAAACAGGCAGCTCTGATTTCTCTGAATTAGTAATTCTGTTTCCCATAAAACGAAGATGGAAATGGCATTTTTCTCCAAATATATAAACAGAGCTGGGAAGATGCAACAGTGGCTACTAAAGAGCACACTGAGTCATTCTCAATAAAATATAACCTGCTCACAACCCACACTTTAATCCTGCGCTTATTGAAATTACTGTCAAAACACCCATTGAAACCATGGGGAGCAGGGGTAGACCCACAGTCTTTTACCTTTCATTGCATCACCAGTTCTGATCTGGACAAAGACACATGGGGAAACTTTTCTGGGTTTTTTTTATGTATGACAATCTGTAGCTGAACAGACCAAACTACTAACAATTAACCTGGTTCCCTTGCTTTGAGATGTTCTGTATTAAAACCACTGGGGGAATGGCCATTCTCCATGGCACCATCTCCTTTTTAACCTCCAGATTTCTCTGTGGAAACCTAAGACAGAATTAATATAGCTCAGAGGCAATGGCAGCTCAATACCTGCTTTCCTTCTCCCAGACAGGAGAAGATGTAGTCCCAAAACTTTATAGCACACGTGCAGATTGCTGGCTTTTGATTGACACCATCTGTGTCTACCTCCAGGTTTGTAACAGAGCCAGTTTGTTAGTCCCCAGAGTGTGCTGCACGGACCACGTTTTCTCCCTTGTCTTTGAGGAGATGAGTGCCGGGTGGGGGTACATAGTGGTGGAATGGACGTCTGGGGATTGTGTGTGCTGTAATTTCTGTTTCTATTTATGTCATTGCTGCATTACTTCATTTGAGCTGGAGGAATTTATGCATCTGTTTAATGTATTTTTTAAAGATTGTCAAAGATGCCCAGGAGCACTGATAGGGTGCTTTTTATAATTGTTGGTAAAAATCCAAATAAATAAATAATGATGGTGAAAGAATGGCAGAGTTTTTCACAGAAACTCCTAAATTAATGCATACGCTTAGGGGAGAAATGTATATGTATCATTATGATGAATTATATCATGACGTAGGCTGAATAATATATGGTGGCTGTTTAAAATTCAGAGAACATATTTTGGGATAAATCTGATATTTAATGAGAAACCAGTCACTGTCAATTTAGATGGCTAAGCAGAATTGCTTGGGAAGTGGGTAGCCGTTGATGAAGTAAGCACTAATAAGAAATAATTACCACGTGTCATTACGCTACTGCAAATGGGAGTGGGAGTTGAGATTTTCAGACACTCTAGGAGATCTATATGTACACCTACAATTTAATTTTAAAATGAATGGCTGGTGTGTCTAAATTTCCTCAAGTGCTTTGAAACCTCAACTAGGTTACATAGTTGGGGGTAAAAATGCTATTGGCAATGTTTGGTGACAAGCGCACAAGCACATGAAGATTGAGAACTGGCCTATACTGGGGCTGCAGAGCACCATTTAAAGTGTGTGTGTGTGGGGGGGCACATAGATCCCTGCCTGACCCTTCTCTTCTCCTCTCTGGCACCCACCATCAACCTGACCCTCCCATCCACCCATCCCCTCCAAATTTGAGCAAATGGCATTGCAACCTGGGTTGCAGTGCCATTCAAGTTTGTCCCAGAAGCCCCTCCGGCATGACAGAGAGGAGGCCAGGACAAATTTGAGCGAGTGGCATTGTGACCTGGCACACAGTCACAGCACCACTCAGGTTTGGCCTAGCCAAAAAGTCAGGCCATGGCATAGGCTTCACGGCCTGTGGGTCTAGGTTTCTTAGTTTAATTCCCTTCTCAAATGTTAATATTCTTTATTATATCATTCCAGGTGGAGAGAGAAAAAGCTATTCTCCTGGCCAACCTTCAGGAGTCCCAGACGCAGCTAGAACACACAAAGGGAGCCCTAACTGAACAACACGAGCGAGTCCACAGGCTCACAGAGCACGTCAACGCCATGAGGGGACTGCAGAGCAACAAGGAGCTGAAAGTAGAGGTGGACTGTGAGAAGGGCCGAGACTCCAGCGAGGAAACACATGACTATGAAGTAGACATCAACGGCCTAGAGATCCTAGAATGTAAATACAAAGTGGCAGTGACGGAAGTGATTGACCTTAAAGCTGAGATAAAGGCCTTAAAGGAGAAATACAATAAATGTGTAGAAAACTACACTGAAGAAAAGGCAAAGTATGAGACCAGGATCCAGAGGTATGATGAGCAGGTGACGAACCTGGAAAAATCAACGAAGGAAAGTTACGAGAAAATGGTTCAAATGGAAAAAGAGTTGCAAAGGATGACAAGCGTAGCAAATGAAAACCATAATACCCTCAACACAGCCCAGGATGAGTTGGTGACATTTAGTGAGGAGCTGGCTCAGCTCTATCACCATGTATGTTTGTGTAATAATGAAACTCCCAATAGGGTCATGTTGGACTATTACAGGCAAAGTAGAGTCACCCGTAGCGGGAGCCTGAAGGGACCTGATGATCCTAGGGGGCTCCTGTCTCCACGGCTCACCAGAAGAGGAACGGCATCCCCAGTAGAAGCCAGGACCCCAACTGAGCATGTTTCGAAAGAGAGCACAGAGGCTGGCAAAGAACAAAGTCCAACCAAGACACCTACGATTTCTCCTGTCATCACGGCCCCTCCTTCCTCTCCCGTCTCTGACACCAGTGACATACGCAAAGAGCCAATGAATATCTACAACCTAAATGCCATAATACGGGACCAAATCAAGCACTTGCAGAAGGCTGTAGATCGGTCACTGCAGCTGTCACGCCAGCGTGCGGCAGCACGTGAGCTGGTGCCCATGATTGATAAGGACAAGGAGGCCTTAATGGAAGAGATACTGAAACTGAAGTCCCTGCTGAGTACAAAACGGGAGCAGATAGCAACCTTGAGGGCAGTGTTGAAAGCCAACAAACAGGTAAGTGAGTAACAATGCTGTCAGTTTGTGGTGATCAGTATTTTCATAGCTGATTTATGGGCCTTTCAACGGGTATTGTGGTAGATGTTTGAACAATCAGCTGTCCATCTTTCCAGTCAGTCACAATGAGGCTGAGGTTTTTCTTGTTTTTCTTAACTCCCTGCAATCTTTCTGCATAGTCTTTTTGCAGCACCCAACCTTGACCTAAAGGATGGGCAGAGTGAGTGACTTGCTGTAGAGTTTGAGACCTCAATGTCCTTACATGGATCAGCCTACAGGAGAAGGAGAAGGGCAGTAAGAAAGGCACAGCTAGAGCCGAGCACTAATGTGGCTCCCTAGTGGGTCTCCTGGTTTGAAAAGAAACCAGGTTTTGAGGGCCACAACCAACCCTGGGTCTTCCAAATGGTAACGTGATGTGCTGTAGCCTCAAGGCCGTACGCAACTCCAGGGTGCTCGGGAATAAAAATTTACATTGCATTTACACAGCTGACTATCTCAAAACACTTTACAAAGGTGGGTGTCTGTACCCCATTTTACAGGTGGGGATACTGAGACACAGAAAGGCTAAGTGATTCCACCAAAGACATGAGGTGGGTCAGGATTAGAATCCAGGCCTCCTGTCTCTCATTCCCTAGCTGTAACCACTAGACTACAATGCCTTCGTGCTATCCTATCAACGGTGGGCGCTCTCCGCTAAACAAATTCAGTGACTGATTCCTTTATAGTCAACAGTAGTTAAATGGCAGCAATAATCCATGCACTCTAGGCAGGGGGAAACATTTATTTCTGCAAAGCAAAATGATCAACAAAATTGTAGACCCATCTGGTTATTGAACAATGTCTGATCATTTAATACAAATGAGTGGATCACACAGCTCTCTTGGGTACGCAAATCTCTCATCCAATTTGGATACTAGTTTGTCACTGCAGTCTCCTGGCCAGATATAATGGTCCTGGTTTTCTTTTCTATACTGGTTTTACATCAGTAAAACTCTATTGACTTAAATGCAGTTACTCCTGATATTGAACGGGTTGGAATTTTTCAAATATTCGTTTTCCAGAAACGCCATTTTATTGCCATTGAAATTTTTGTTTGTCATTTTTAAAATAAGAAATATTGAAAATTTTAAAAAAATATATATCACTTTGGGGCAAAACTGATCAAAAACATCCCACATTTTTTTATTTTTATTTTGAAAATGATAGAGATTAAAAAATTTTCAAAAATGAAATAAAGATTTTAAAATTTGTCTCAAATTTTCTTTTCATTTTTTGACAAGGTCTGTTCTTGATATTGTATAGTAAGACTAGAATAAGGCCCATTGTATGTGAAATGCAAAAAAATCCCTGCACTTGCGCACTCTCTGTCATCACCATGTTCATTTAGTTGTGTTATACCCCTATTTCCAACCCTTTGTCTGCTTTTGCATCTTTAGGCTTTAGTATCTTTTTAGGCGCCAGTCTTGCAAACAATTATGCACGTTGTTATCCGCAAAAATCTAGGGCATCCCGCCTATATCCTGCTGAGGGCTCAAGGCGTGACCTGGTTAATTTCGGTACCCCCACCCTTTCCTTACTGAGGGCTCGGGCTGTGAAGCATATACCCTTACCCATGGAGCTCAGGGTAAACCTGGTCAATTTAAGTACCCGCCCTTTCCCACAGGGTTCTGGGCTATACAAGTCTGTATAACTTTTTCCCAGTGAAAGAGCCTTACACAGCAGTGCTCTAAACATCAATTTATTAGCAACACATACAAAATACATCTGTCAAACAAAGCTATTATGCTCACCACTCCCAATAGACAGACAAACTTCACCCGATGGCAGTCAGGATCCACTCATCTGGGGATGCCGGTGCTGCCTCTGCCCGTCACAGTTGTGCAAGGGCGTCAGTTCTAGCAGTTTGATGTTGAACTGCAGGCCAGCGATGGTTCCCAAAGAGCATTGTTTTTCATTTACGTTATATAGGTAAAACTAGCTCCCTCCTTCAAATTTACTAAACCTATTACATTATTCAACACCCCTAGGTAATAACATTTAACCAATCATGCACTGGCACCTATGTTTGCTCCTCCCTGCTCTTTACATTTTATCTTTCATGCCCAAATTGTACCTTATTTATGACCTTCTTTGTTTGTGCAGATGGTCAGCATAAATTCGTTGGTCAGAGCTTATCTTATCTATTTCACCATTTGTGGGGGGTTTTCTGTATCCTCCCTAAACTTCCCAGCGCCTGGGTGTCTCTACTTTACAACCTTGGTGTTAGAACTATTGTTAGGGGCATTCCTGAGGTGGGGGTGCCTTAGCAGCAGGAGAGCATTTTTTCTTAATTTTAGTGGTGAAATCCCTGAGTTTTACCCAAGGCTAATCCAAGCTAGTTTAGTATGGGGGTGAGCTGCGTCCCCCAGGCCTACATGAGGTTGGTCAAGGCTAGGTTAGTATGGGGGTAAATTAAGTCCCAGGCCTACAATGTGCTTAACTTTATGCAGGTGAATAGTTCCACTGACTTCCATAGAACTACTTGTCCTCAAGCATGTGTTTATGTGTTTGCAGGATCAGGGCCATAGATTGTAAACTCTTGAGGGCTTTTCCATCATCTGTGTTAGTTTAGAGAACAGGACAATCGGTCCCAATCCTGATTAGGGCATTAGGTCACTACCATAATATAAATGATAGGCTGAAAATGTAAAATCACCCAGAGGTCAGGAAATACAACCCTAAAGATTCCAACAGCAAAGTTAACTTGGATGTATTGTGAATTTTATTCCATATCAAGTTTTTTACATGTATATTAACATACACACTTAACTAGAGAAAGAGTACTGGTGAATCTTATGTATATGAAATGAAGGTATTGCAACTGTGCCCTGAAAAGTTATTGTGTGAAAAAGCATGGTGGGATTCTGTGTCTGTTTCTCAATGACTCCAGTTGAATGTGGTCAGTTTGCAAATAAAAAGATGTCTCTTAATTGCTAACTTTGCAAACTCATCCCAATATTTGAAAGCCAATCAGCTTTATTTCCATGTCATACTTCACCAACAATAATCTAACTATTAATCTAGGTCCTTATGAGGCCCTTATCACTATAGTATCTGAGCATGAGTAAACCCATCCTAATACAGGTATATTGTTGATTGTAGATGTGATGTAATTGAGATACACCCTTGTTCTAGGCCCTTTGACCTAGGTAAAAGGGCAGAGTGCAGGGGCTGTGAAAGCCCCAGACCCAGCCAGGGGAGGATTCCCCAGCACAGAACCTCAGAAGAGAGCCCTAAGGCTGCACTCAGAGGATCTGGGGGGGCGGTTGGGGGCTGCTGGGGCTGCAGTACTCAGAGCTAAGAAGATTCCAAGCAGCCCTGCAGCCCATGTGGCAGCCTGGGAAGGCTGTGGTAACTTAGGACCTGTCTTAAGTAAAACAGCTCAAGTTAATACGTTCCCTTTACTGCACTGGAGCTAGTGTAGCACAGAACAACCACACTGCAAGGCAACAGTGGAGTTACATGGAGTCATTTGATTAGCTGATGATGAGTTATAACTCGAGCTGTTGCATCTCCACTACATTATTAGCTCAAGCTTCAACCCACCCCACTAACGGGCCAGCTATCTCCTAGCTCGAGCTTAAAGTACCAGTTAACTCAAGCTAGAGATTTTTGTGTGTGGATGGGAATCAAGCTAGGGGTGACACTCAAGACGCACCCTCAGTCAGTCTCCTAGGGCTGTCTATGTTATGCCAGGGGCCACAGAGCTGCCTCGGATTGGGAGGAGACAAAGATGGCACAAAGCACCATAGGCCCACCTCCTTCTGGGTTGCAAATACTGTGCTGTGCTTTTAGAAAGGTCAGCACATATTCTCACCCTTTATGCCCAAGAAAGCAGTCGAGACCCATCACATCCCTGGCCTCTTTGATTCTTGCTACATTGCCCTTGGTATTCTAAATAATTATTCTAAATAATGTCTAAAATCCTTTTTAGAAATGGCATCACTGTTTTTAAAAATGCCTGTTGGTGGTGGTTATTATTATTATTTTATTGTGATTAATGTTTGTTTGATTTTTCGTAAAGAAACACAATGACAAGTACAAAAGGGGTAAATGACTTATAGCTTGTTAGAGTTTCGAAATACAGTATGCTTCATGGGATCTGCAATACTAGTATGCAAGTTTACAAGTAAACAGTCACAGCAATGAATAATTTTGCCTTTTTGATAACATCTTCTGTTCAGGAACAGTTGGCATAATACTAAAAAAGAGAAGCATTAAATTAATGCCAAAAAGTTAGTGTGTTTTTATGGAAACATACCTATTTAAGAAGAGCATATTACTCTCTTCTTACCATCATTCAACTCAAGGAAAGGCTCCTTAGAAACAAAATGCAGGATTATGGTTTTGGGTATTGCTTAGTGACACAGTAAACCTAGGAAACATGGTTGCTATCTAGTGGCCACCAAGTAGCACTGTAACTTCTTTCTGAAAAAGAAAACTGCATCGTGTTGCTAAAAGAAACAGTACAATGCAGTGTTTCACTAACATTTTCTGCTAAGTTGGCATTCTAACCCGTAGCTTCTTGAAAAAAAATGTACAGTACTGCCTCTTAACTTGAATTGTGCTTATCTGACTGAAGGAAAACAATCAAGGAACCTACAGTCCTCTTTGCTCATATTACAGTAGCCCTCCAACGTGCCAAACAGGATTAGAGTCCCATTGTACTAAAAATATACTAACTTAGAGGAGGACAGTGTCTCCCTTGCAACCTAAAATATCCAGTTAAAAAAACCAGAAAAAGGGTGGTGAAAATGGGATCAAGCAATTTGATCAAGGGGATGATGAGCATACCTTTTGTTCGTTCACTTTCTCCTTTTTATTTTATGCATACACTTATTCAGTGCTTCACTTGCTGTATCAACAGTAGTTTGGGCGCAAAACATAGAATCTTTAAAATCTAAAGCAATAGTAAAGTAATCATACTCACCATAAGGCTCACATCAATAATGGTTCTGATT